TTACAAAGTCTTAAGTTACTATACCAAAAAATTATGTGCAGATTTTAAAATCAAATTTATTATTAGCTTATGCATGGAATACTTAGATCTACATGAAACTTAAGACATTTTAGATGATGTCAAATTTACTGCTTTGACTTTTACTAACTCTTTTTGCTCCTACCTATTTTTAGGGAGCAATCTAAAGTCATCTCAAAGGTCTCTCTCCTTGGAGATAATCAGGAACAGTAAAATGAAAGAGGATTATAGAAGAAATACTTTTATCTAAAAAATTTTTAAAAACACCTTGATTAATAGATAGTTTTACTGGTAATCTATTGACTGATTAGTAGTTAACTTACTTAGTTTTACGATAATGTTTATAATGTAGTTATTGACCTGTCTTCTCAATTATCATTTCAGGAACAACAATACCCCATCTTTTGAATAGTACATCTAATAATTTATATCTAAATTTTCAATCAGACATCAGTGTTTCTGCTGCGGGATTTCATCTTGAATATACAGGTAAAAATAATATAATGTGCTATTCAGGAAAGTTAAGAACAAGTTTATTTTAATTTTAAAAGTATTACTTTGATTACAAATTATACAGATAAAGTTTTAATGATTTTGCTAGAATTTACAAGTATTTCTCCCTTTATTGTAGTAAGAAAATTAACATGAGATCCCCCTCTTAACACGTTTTTAAGTGTGCAATATAGGATTTATTATAACCCCTATGTAAACACAGATCTCTAGAACTTCTTCATAGTGCCTAACTGAAATTTTATTCCTGTTGGATAGCAACTTTCCACTACCCTTTTTCCCCTGTCCCTAGCAACCACCATTCTACTCTGTTTCTATGGGATTAATTATTTTAGATATGTCATATAAGTGGAATCATGGAATATTTGTTTATTCTGAAGTATTTTATTCTTTTTCATCCTGTTGTAAATAAGATTGTTTCCTTAATTTCCTCTTAGAATAGTTCATTTTTAGTATATAGAAACATAATTCATTTTTGTATGTTAATTTTGTATCCTACAACTTTACTGATTCATTTATTAATTCTAACAGTTTTCCTGTAGACTCTTTTAAAATTTTTTTATTAATCAATAATCATACATATTTCTGGGGTATATGTGATATTTTGATACATGCAGATAATACATAATGGTCAGATCGGGGTAATTGGGATACCCATCACCTCAAACATTTGTCATTTCTTTGTGCTGGGAACATTCCAAATCCATCTTCTAGATATTTTGAAATATGTAATGAATTATTGATAACTATAATCACCCTACTTAATGAACATTAGGATTTAATTGCTCCAACTAACTATATTTTTGTACCTATTCATCAACCTCTCCTTATTGCCACCTCCCAGTACCCTCCCTGGCCTCTGGTAACCATCATTCTACTCTCTACCTTATAAACTTTTGATATAAACTTTTTTAGGTCCCATATATGAGGGAAAATGTGCAATATTTGTCATTCTATGTCTGGCTTATTTTATTTAACAATGTTCTCTAGTTCCGTTCATTTTGCTGCAAATGACAGGATTTTATTCTTTTTGTGGCTGAATTATATTCCCTTGTGTATATATACTGTGTTTTTTTTAATCCATTCATCCATTGATGAGCACTCAGGTTGATTCCCTGTCTTGGCTATTGTGGACAGTGCTGCAATAAACATGTGAATACATATATCACTTCTATATACTAATTTCCTTTCTTTTGGATATATACTCATCATTAGGCTTGCTGGATCATATGATAGTTCTATTTTTAGTTTTTTGAGGAACTTCCATATTGTTTTCCATAATGGCTGTATTAATTTACATTCCCAACAATAATGTGTAAGAGTTTCCTTTTATCTACATTCTTGTCAGCATTTTGTCTTAATTTTGTCTTAATTTTTGATAA